TTTGTGGGGTGGGGGGGGGGGGGGTGAGATAGTATTGTTTTCAAGGTGTTTCAGCCAATTAGTATCCTGAAACCAATTTTGGGGCACAAAGACTAAGTGTTGATTTAATATCATCTAAGCAAGGATTATGATTACATCTGAATTTCGTTGTCTTCTTAAACAATATGAGTGCTTGTCTTCTGTTTTGAAGGTAACGAATTTATGATGGTTTAGCCATGGTAACCATCTATCCACCAGGAGTTATTAGCAAGTGCAGCGCATATCTGGGTGTTAGCACACATCATGATGCTTCTTTTTGCAAGATTACCCATGTCAATACTTTGAGTACTGCCTTTTCTCCTAGAATTGTATGTGGTCCTTGCAGTAATGTAGTGAATGATTCCACAATTTCTTGGAAGGGGTGCGGCCAACTCAGAACCCATCATGTATTACAGCGAGTGGCTTCAAATAGGTGGCTGGTAAGTATCAGAAAAGCTTCAGGGTTGAAGATTTCTTTTGATTTGAGCTTGATTGGGCGTTCAGTAATGGTTACATTACATGCTACAGTGCCGATCACATGATTCTAATTCACCTGATGATGAGTATCGTTCTTCTCGAAACATAGCAATCAGTTTGTTTAGGCGATACAGGAATGTCATTGACCGTGGAGGAGGTGACAACTTAAAAGTATATTCAGCAATTTAATCTTCATCCATCATTATGTGGGTCTCTTTTTGCTGTCATTCCCAAATTACATGTTTGAGTGATGCTGCCTGTCAGGAATTTATCAGTGCTGGAGTGAATGCATATGCTGTTGGCTGCACTGAAGAAGGATTACGTAAGGAACTTACTGCTATTAGAGAATCTGGTGTTGAAATTGAAGCATTGCAGAATTATGGTGGGAGTACCAGTGTGAAGTCCAAGATATTTGCTGAGGAGGTAAGTTAATCCTGTCTTGTCGGCCAGTTCAATGTATGACAGTATATACTTAAAATTAAGGATGAATCAACACCATGGAATCTAATATGCCTCAGTGTTGCATCTTTCTTTCTAGCTGGGATACTATAGGCTTTGAACTATTTTTTAGTTAATGCTTCTCTCACCACTGTAAGGATCCTTGACATGCACTGTCAATATTATATATGGCAGTTTTTATTGTTGCTGTCATTATGTTGCAGCATTTGTTTGAATTTATAATAGATACTGTAAGGAAGAAGACAGACTGCTAATAAAAGGAAGCCATGCCCTCTCTTTCTGTTGTTATGAGATACCAATGGTTGCCAGAAGAATTATTTGCATTTTTTGTTTATGATCTTTATGTTCCCAACAAAACTTTTTGCAACCTGCATTTCTATGACTATTGTGATTTGCAATGATAGTTTTACTGTTGATCAGATAAATCTATTACTAGGATTACAAGTAATAAGGAAATGGATGATGGGCTAACTTGTGGCATCACAATTTTTTTTTTCAAACTGCAGGTTGATGAGTGTATTCTGTGGTTGAGCATTATATTTATCACAATCTTGTGTACACCACAACCAACTATAGTTCGATGGTCATCTACGCCTTCAGTGTCAGATGACATACGGCTTCAGTGGAAAGGGTTTTGTGCAGTCATTGCAAATGCTTACTACATGAGAGGAATGGCATGGTGAGATGCTTTGATCACATCTGTTTTGCTAGTATTTTGTCCAAGACTCATTGATATCAAGATTACATGAACTTGTTACATGGTTGGTGTGCTTCCTTGACAGTCCAATCAAAGTACCAGTAAAATTTGGGTTATAACTACTTTTTTTTGTTGGTTTAACCTGTATAGAGGTTTCCCTATTGGTTGTTTGTGTGGAATGAGTAAGACCTCGCCGTAAAATTTTCCAAGTTCAGTTACATGATTTTCTTTCACTATTGTTTCAAATTGTTTGCTCTCAACATTGTAGTCCTGGTCATTTCTCAGTTTCATGTGTTTGGAAAGGACATGCCTTCTTTACTTCACCTGGCACATCATTTCTACATCTAAAAAACCAATTGCATTTAAGATTGCATGACTGGACTCAACCTTCTCTTTCTTTTTTGCCAAAGGCTTCCAGTTAAGACGCTTCAGCTAGAACAAATGGCAGTTTCAGGATGTGCTGAGGAGCCATCAGTTGTTGCCAGCCGGATGCGACTTGTTTTCAGCACACTTGAGGTTAGCATACTTTGCTATCATTTTTCAGTTAATGAACAGAGATCTAATACAAAACCTTCTTGATGAACACCATACTGAACCTGCTGCCTGTTTTTCACAAATTTCACTTCCTGAAGAAACATATAGACCTTAAGTCATGAATTTTTTGTGTGTCATGTCTTAGTTATTAGTCTGTCAAAGTTACATTTCTTGAGAATTACTACCCCAAATTCATTCCAAGTAATGATGCGTTGCCTAATCTCTTTATTAAAATGCCGATGATTGGTTGAAGGAATGCTTTGTAAGTAAGAGCAGGGAGTGCTGGGTTCAGAGAAATCACGTCCTTGAATATGTTGTATTTTGCTATTGTTTTCTCATTATACCAATGGGACATTGATTTGGCTTGTGCAGGTAGTAAGTCCACAATGGCCAAGAGTCTAATAAAAGAGCTTCAGTGCAGAGATTCTTCTTTTCCCTTGATCTCGATGAAGCTTCCGGTTCCAGCTACTCATTATATGTTAGTGCAGCTTTACATTTAGCAATTTCTTAATGGTTTTTAAGCAGAAATGCCTATATAATAATAAATGTGTCATAGCATGTTTGATGTATAATCAATGGCATGTAAATTTGCAAGGATTCAGCCAGAAATCTTCAAATATTGTTTCAAGTGATTGTTAATCAACACCTGAAAATAATTTGGCAAGCAATCACACCATGGTTCTTCTTGTCCAGTGTGAATATGCCACCACTTTATGCTTCTGTGGAGATAATTGTTGTTTCCAAATGTTCATTATGAACAAGGGTATGGAATTTCAGCACTATGAGGTTTGTTTTAGGCGATTCCAAGGTGGTTTTTTTCTGCTGTCTGATATCTGTGAGGTTGCATGGTCAATGACATCAAGAAGCTTTATAAACATTGGCTAAGAAGTTCGAATTATGCCATTCATACTGTCTCTGGCAAATTTTCGAGTAGAAAAAAGTTGTGGATTGGAGTTGTGTACATTACAGATCTCCCATGCTTTATCAGGGACACTGCTAAAAGGTCAGGGAGTAAGAAACTGCAGATTATGTACATGCAGTTACTCCGCCTTGGTCCTTGAGGCCCCCTCGTGGAGCCCCCCC